TAAGCATACGACAACCACTACAATCCAGGAGGGAACTCACATCATCTACAGTAACGAACGTATGGTCACTTCCCCGTCTGCTCCCCGCAAGGTCACGACTCGGCGCCCTGGCACGCCGCATCGTCCGCCGGAATAGGATGGGACGTGACCAATAGCTGACCGAAGCTAGAGCATGGCCCTATCAATATCAACAAAACATGCTATCCCTGTCACCATCTGCCGTGTCAGCAGGACAGGCTCAAGGAAAAAGGAAGACCCTGCGCCTTCGAAAGGCCTTCTTTACCTCTGGTTTTTCCTCTTTCTCCCATTCGTAACCCTTGCTCCCCCTTGGTTTATTAAAGGAGGGCAGGGCACCCCACGAAAGGGATGGATCGATTCCACGGACAACACATCACATAACACACAGCCAAGCAGCAACCGAGCTCTTGGCATCCTTTCGACCTTTCCATTAGAGACTTGGGATCTGTCTCTCTCTTGACCGTTTATACCCCCTACTACGAACGTTTTTCAGTGCTAATAGCACGAGCAGCAGCAAACTGAACGTAGGGACATTCTGCCCGAACCAGTATAAACCTTGTGTCCTTTAGTACATCATCCGGACCTAACGCGCAACAAATATAAATTTACTAGTTGGTGTTTATTCAAAATACCGACATAAGTACTAGTACGCCAAATGAATAAGGGTGTGCAAAGCTTCCTACGTAAACCCTTTTATACTTTAATAACTCATGTGTGTCAACTTATATAAATTTTCTGAAAATATGGGTACAATTTCCTCAGCTAACTACTTCTAGTTTCCATCCTCTAGTCATCAAATGTTGGATTGACAGCTGTGTTTGTCAACTTCCAGGCAGCCTCAGGATGGCTGAACATAGTACCCTGGGGCATGTTCAAGCTGATGAAGCACATCAAAGAAAAGTATGGAAATCCACCTATGATCATTACTGAAAATGGTAAGCGACTAAAAAAGGGTTCTATTATTAATAGCTGATAAAAGTTTCTCCCTCGAAAAATTCACTGGCATAAGAGGGGTTTAAATGGCAGGCATGGATGATGCGAACAATCCGTTTTGGAGATTAGAGAATGATCTGCGGGATGATAAACGGATACAGTACTACACGTCTAGCCTCCTAGATGCAATAAGGTAAAGCTCCCACTTCTGTGCCCATGCATCTGACTGGAATAGCCAAAGCCAACACTGTCCATCAGCAATGCTTGGTTCTTGCCCCTCAACAGCTGTTCGACCTGAATCACTGCAGGAAAGAAGGCTGCAACGGACATGTTCGGCAGGACTGAAAAATAAGCTAAAATACTGTTCCGGCTGATTGTTGTGAGAGAAAAATATTGTCCTCCGACTAATTTGGAGTACAGTGGTTCTCAGTAGCCATTAGGCCACGTTTAGTTCTAAAAAATTTTCCCAAAAAGTGTTATAGGAGCCATCACATCAAATCTTGCAATACGTGCATGGAGCATTAAATGTAGACGAAAAAAAAAACTAATTACACAGTTTGGTTGGAAATTGCGAGACGAACGTTTTAAGCCTAATTAGTCTATGATTGAACACTAATTGCCAAATAAAAACGAAAGTGCTACAGTAGCCAAATTTCTAAAATTTGGTCAACTAAACCAGGCCTTAGTTTAGTGTATACAACATAGTGCTCCGTATATAACTACCATCTGTACATGCTTGTTTTAGAGATTTTAGGATTTTTTTGGGAGAACACTAGATCATTTCTCATTTTCCACAAAGCCTAACCCATTCCAGCTATTACAAACCATGAGAGCTTGTTTTTGTTTCCATTGTCTCTGCTCAAGCAAAACTCCTAAAAAAAATTCAATGGATGCTGGTATCCTCAACCAACCCAAGCTATTTCTCAGCCAACACCAAGTCACAATAGTTATAGGACATCTAAATAGAAGATGATCCACAATTTCCTCTTTACCACAGAATTTTAATCCTTGGACCCATTCTAGTTCCTTCTTTTCAATTTTTCTACTATCTGAATCCTGTCATGCCAAGCCATCCATATAGAAATATCTGCACTTTTAGCAGATTTTTGTTGTCCAGATCTCCATCATCTTCACATCTCTGATTCTCATAAAGGTTATGAATTTGTACATGCTTTTAGTTGTGAACTTACCTGAATTCTCTAACTTCCAAGTTCTATGTTACCTTGTCACTCTCTTCTGTTAGATTTATGCTCACTAGTTTCTCTATCAACTCCTTCAGTTTCTCTATCAACTCCTTCCATTCCTCTAGCTCCTTTTCCCCAAAATTTCTTCTAAAGTCCAAATTCCACTCTCTTCTCCCAGCCCCTCCATTGAGATATCTTGGTTATGGCAGATTTTTAAACACTTTTGGAAGGCTGTCTTTAAAGGACATTCCTCTAATCAGACATCTTCCCAAATAAAATATTGTCTGTACCACTCTCCACAATGCCTTTACCCCTTTCATACCACTCTCTAACTGAATGTAAGCCCTGCCAAAACTGTGATCCACCCCTGCTATTACTTTGACAAAAACCTTTCCCTCTTAGATATTTCCTCCTCAATATATTCATGCACAAGCTATCCTCTCCACTTTTTTTTGAAACAAAAGGCAGGTGCTCTGCCGCTCAATTAAGCCGAAAGAATATTATGTACAAGAAGGTTAGCCGGACGAGATGCCAGAAAGGCACCCGAAGGGCTAACCACCCCACGCGACGCAGCAGAGCACAAACACGACACACTGCCATAGGTCATCGTTGCCGAGCATGGAAGCCAAGCCGCCAGCAGCTCCGACTTCCCATGGCAGGCCACCCACTAGTCACCCCCCGACGGGTCTGAAGCTAACGGCCGCCACCGGTCATCGTTGCCAAGCTCAAACACCGAAGAGCAGCTCCAACTTCCAATTGCAAACCATCGCCCCGCATCGAAACCGCGACAATAATCCAAATGCGACGCCTTCAGGAAGGGAGTGACGCCAATGGCGTCACCGTCGCCTGTCCAAAGTGGACTGAGTTTTCACCCTTGGAAGACATGCTAGTGGGGAAATACGACGCCCCCAACAGGGAAGCGGCGCCCAACGGCGTTGCCGTCGCCAAGGCTTTCGCCCAAGAACCCTCTAGCACACTTGCTGGGTCGCGAAGCCGGACCCGTGCCAGCCTTCACCGCCATCGCAGTTGTCCCGGCGCCCCACAGAAGCCCCATAAGAGGGGCATCGATGCGTCGGCTGCACGTAGTAGCCGCATAGCTGCGTCGGCCGCCACCCCCTCCGACCGGGCCACGCAGAGCCGGACCTAACTCTGTCACTCACGTCACACCGCCGCACGCCGAGGCCGCATTTGACCAACGTCGTCGGCTCTGGCACCTGCCGATGTCGCTGTCGTCATCACCACCAGAGTGCCCCACCATGTCGAGCTCCGCCCCATGTCCTGGGGCCGCCGAATCCGGACGCCAGGCCCCGAATCCGGCGCCCTCTGCCGACGCCGACGCCTCCGTCTTGACCATAGCTGCAGACACTGTCATGGGCCGGCCCGTCGCCTTGGCTGCCAGACCGGCCGCCGCGGGTAGGCTGCCGCAGCAGCCAAGGCCATGAGGGGAGGGACGGCAGAGAAGAAAGCACCGCCCCCAGCGCCTGCATGGGCCCCAGCCACCGCCGCCGCAACCGCCACCGGCCGCCAAGACAGATCCGGCAGCCTGGGGTCCGGATCTGGCCCCCCGGGCACCGGATCTGGCCGACTGGGCCCCGGACCAGCGGCCTCAGCCAACGCCGCCGCCGCCATCAAGAGAGGAGAAGGGGAACACGCGGAGAAGAAGAAGACCTCACCGCCGTCCCCCGCGCCTGCTGCAGATGCGCCGCCAACGCGAGGAGGGAGAGCCCCGCCGCCACCATCACAGCAGGCCGGGCGGCCATGCCGGCAGCCAGCTCCGACGGCAGCGCGGCGGGCGAGGAGGAGAGGGGTGAGAGGGAGGCGGCACGGCAGGGGCCGCCCGAGTCGCCCCGCGTGGGGGAGCGGCGCGGGCGTCAGTGGGGGTCCCGACTCTCATCCTCTCCACTTTCCAATCTGTAGATCCATTTGCAAAGTAAAGCAACATTATTCATGGCTCTGGTATCACTAAAACCCAAGCCTCCAAACTCTTTGGGTTAATTCAAGGCTTCCCATTTAATCATATGATACATGGTATACCCACACCCTCCTAGAAAAATTTCCCTCATAAGAAACTACTCACTACCACTACACGGTTGGATTTTAAGATCATCATGTCCATCTTGTCAGTCCGTCCTAGAGCTTTTTAGGTCCTGCTCGCTTATGCTGAAATTTGGCTTATGCTGATTACTTATGCTGAAATATCGTGAGAAAAAAACATTGTTCCATGGCTGAAAAGTAGCTCAAGTGAACAGGGCCTTAACAATCACGTTCAGGAAGTCCTCGCTTCTCGCCATCAAATTTCCAGTGTTGTAGAAAGGCTACATCTTGTACGCTACCTGTATAGGAGATTTAAGTGAGATGTTAGAGAAGACAGAAGTCCCATTTGTTCCTGGTCTTCCACAAGCTCTAGCCCACTCCAGCCAACACAAATATTTTCCGCCAGACTTCCTTGCCTCTTGGTTCTCCCAAAAAAAAATCCTGAAAATCTCTCAACGAAGTTGATATTCGGCAAAAAATTGATTTCATAACAATTTTTTTGTCTCCTGTACCATCAGCAGAATTGGCAATTGGCATCCACATTCTTTTTAGCACCGAACAACGGTACACGTTTTGCTCATTTGAGGATCAAGGGCCAAATTCCACATTCTAGATACTGTCTGCCAAGTGCTATAAAACAGTTACAATTGAGATCCACATGAAAAAAAAAATTGAAACTCACCATCAAGTTCAATTTGTATTACAAAAAACTACATTCAATTTGAAGCAAAAATTTATACAGTATAACTATTGAAATAAAGAGACATTATTGTCACTTGTCAGTACTCACTGCTCAGTACCACTGTTCTGCGTGACCGGCGAGGAAAGAGGCTACGTAAAATTCGCGCCAGGCGACCGACGGCTCTCCGGCGGCAGATCGGCGGCAATACGCCCCTCGAGCATTTCCACAACAGTTAGCATGCTGGGCCTCAGTTCCCGCTGGTGCTGGACGCAGCAGAGCGCCACCCTTACCGGCGCCTCCACCTCCCCCTCGTCCACGGGCGCCATGGTCGCGTCCACAAGCTCCATGAGCTCGCCTCGCGCCATCTTCTCCCGCACGACGCGCGCGAAGATGTCCGGAGTCTCGGACGAGTCCATGCTGGCCTCGTAGCCCCTGCGCCCGCCGACGAGCTCGAGGAGCGTCATGCCGTAGCTGTACACGTCGGACTTGGTGGACAGAGAGCTGAACCATATCTCCGGCGCCATGTACCCGGGCGTGCCCTCCCCGCAGGTCTCGACGCTGGTGAGGTCCTGGGCGATGGATATGGAGATGCCGAAGTCCGACACGTGCGCGCGGAAGCTGCCGTCGAGGAGGATGTTGGCCGGCTTGATGTCGAGGTGCAGGATCTGCCGGTGGCACTCGTGGTGGAGGTACGCGAGCGCCCTGGCAACGTCGACGGCGATGCGGCGCCGGGTCGGCCACGGCAGGAGGCGCCTCCTGTCCTCGCCGTTGAACAGCCACCAATCCAGTGACCCGTTCTCGAAGAACGGGTACACAAGGTACTGGCCGTGGGCGGTGGTGCCCGGCACCCCTTGCACGAGGCAGTATCCCAGGAGGCGCACCAGGCTGCGCTGGTGCACGTTGGCGACGATGGATATCTCTCTCAGGAACTCTTCCTCGCCGACAGGTTTGTAGCTGGTGATCCGCTTGACGGCGACCGCCGTGCCGTCGTCGAGGAGGCCTCGGAAGACTTCGGCGGAGCCGCCGCGCCCCACGACGGTTCCGAAGTCTCCGGTGACGGCTCGGATCTCGTCGTACGAGAACTTCCGCGGCAGGTCCTCGATGTGGAACGTGGTCTGCTGCACCTGCACGGGAGTAGTAGAGGCTGCTTCTGACTTGAGCATCGTCGCAAGTGGCGCCTCTGGATCAGCAGGTGGAGCTTTGCCGCGGGCACGAAGGCGCCGGAGACAAGCCTGCAGTACTAGAGAGCTAATCTTCCAGATGCAGTATACCAATAGAGCTATGAGATTGCAGACGAGCATGACAATTACTGGAGCCATGTCGCCCCTGGAAGCCACACTGGGAGCTGCCGTGACAATCACCACAGCAAGGACACCAAGAAATGCACCGCAAATAATCCTCCCTTCCCGATCGGACGAGGTGCAAATGTATAAGCAAGCGATTATAGCGAAGGACACTGATTGAAGAGCGATCTTTGCACCGAAGCTATCAACAATTGCAGGGATGATCAAAATGAATACGGTGAACACAATCGCTACATGCACTATCTTGCACAACACAGAGGCACAGGCGCAGCAGCATCCTCGGCGAGGAGGAGGAGCTACGCTAGAGTCATCCAGACCTGACATGGTTGAACTCCCGCAGAAGGAGACGAAAAGAGTTCAGAGATGCAAGATGTGCAATCGCGCGGTGGTAGGAGTGGCGAGACTCATAAACTACCAGCCTCCTGTTTGAGAAGAACGAGCAAGTCAAGAACTTGGCGCGTAATGGACAATTAATGCTGTGATGAAAAAGACGTTTCAGGCCAGAGTAGCTAGCCTCAACCATGATAATACATAATTTTTTTTAATTTTAACACTTTTTGATAACTAATTTTAAATCTAACATTGCCTGTTTTTTTTTAAAACTAACACTTTTGGCCGCGCCTATTGCCCTGGTGCGGCCGAATGCCTATGCCGCGTCATGCATGGTGGCGCGGCAGCGGGCTGACGTGGTGACGACCGGATTCGGGGACCGTTGACGTGGCAGGTCCTGCCGCGCCACCGACCTTGGCGTGGCAGTGCCACGCCCTGATCCATGGTGCGGCTGGGCCGAATAAATACCGCAGCCAGTCCCGCCTGCCCGAGCAGCAAGCTCGGCCGCCGCGCCCGCCACCCGCCAGGCGCTACCTAGACGGTTTAATCGGAACGCGTCGCGCCGATAGTGGGAGTTATTCTAAATATTGCTTGACGTAAAATCAATAGTAGTTTTGTTTCTGTCTTTTGTTGATTTTTTTTCACGACCGAATAGAGAATTTGATAAGCTAATAATTTGTTTTCCGTCTTTCATAATATGGTTAACCACTATTTTAACTAATCGATTACGAAAAATTACCACCGGCGTCGAGATACGTCGGGACTGTCGGTTCCCGATCTAGTTGGTACTTAATCTCGCCGGGGGTGCTGCCGCGACGCAAAGAAACGTATATAAAGCAAATAAATGAAGTCCATGCGCAAGTTGACAAGCTGCCACGTAACATTTTCATTGTTTTGACATAAGTTTGACATAACATAACCAAATAACCCCGTAAGTTTCGGACGCCAATATTCGTTTGACCTAACAAATTAAGACCCAGGAGTGTAAGGATCCCTCAGACACCTCTGTCTCTTCGGATTTGTTGGCAACACATTGAGAGTGTAGCCAACGTCGGTATGGTCGCGTCGACGGTGCGTACGGCTCGTACCCTGTAAGTATATGATACGCACGATTACTTATAATTCTTTATGATCATTAGTTCATGGAGCCTACGTATTTAAAGAAACTATCTTTGATAGTACCTGTGAGGCTCCTTGGGTACCAAGCGAGGCACCACCTAGCTGACACATGCCGATCTCGTCCTGCGGCGAATCGTCCCACTAGTCGTGCTGTCTGTGGAAGCCCGGGGGGTCGTCGTCGTCATCGTCGTCCTCGATTGCAGGGTCCTTCCCAGCGCTATGATGTGGTGGTGTACGCACCGCGAAAGTGGCACCTGTCATCGACTAAGAAGAGCCGGCTGGTGTCCTCAAAGAGGCTGAAGACGTGCCACCCGACCGTGCTGGGAGTGACGGTTCCTCATAAGGAGTGCCCATGCAGCTCAGCTTCTGAGCTAGCTTTCTGCATCTCTTCTTCACCATCTGTATAAATAGACATTAAAGTTAGTGCATTACCCAAACGCATATACACTAAAGAAACTTTTTTGGAACGGACAAGTTTATGTTTACCTCCACAAAAGCTGCGAGAACACCTGGCCCCTGTCCTCTATACTCGTGAAGCCAGAACGCAGCTTCGTTGGACAGCCTTGACAATTGTGTCGTCTGGGTACAGAAATACGATTGAACAGTTTTAGTACACATACTTAATACCAAAAGGATAATAAATTGTACCATTCAAGTATATTACCATATATCTTTGAAGCGGGGCTTTCTATAGTTGTGTGTCCTCCCTAGTGGTAACGTCGTACACATCTTCGATGATATCTTCCTCCGAGTCCTCGTCAATCGCCTCCTTAGTGTACGGGGGCTTTATATGTGTCCTCGTAGACCTGTGAAGCCACCGCAGGTACTCGTCGAAGGTGTGCTAGTCGTGTGGAGGACCCGCATGGACCGGATGTCATACCCTGTTCTGCCACAAATGGATGTGCGCGTTGTGTGTCATGCGCCAATCCTTGGTCTTGTACCTCTTCCTACGGTCATACCTGCAATAAAACCGATGTTAGTTGTACCACACACCTCTGAATTGTAGCATTGTTATTAATCGATAACGCACCCGTGCAATTCTTGGTTGGTGGAGTAAAGCGGTGGTGGGCAGCCTGTCATTCTTCCAAACTGTCTGCAGACCCGGATGGGCAAGTGAATCTCGACCACATGGAAGAAAATAAGAGAGACGTCGCAGCGATACTCGTCTGACTCGTCCCTAGTGACAGGACTGAGATAGTCCTGGAGCTCCGGAGAATCCCAAGGACACCAATGCACCTGAAATTTCGTAATTGAGTTAGGCTGTGATATAGTGTACATCGAAGAAGACACATGTATGATAATAAAGAGAGCGTAACCTGGTGCTGTGTCAGGACGTCGAGACCGTCCGTGTACTCCCTGTACTTGCGCCTCGCATTCCCTCTAACTAACTCTGATTCCGTCTAGATAAACAGAGCTATAGGGAGTGTATCATGTCTGTTCCATTGCTGCATCGAACACGATAATGAATTAACCATTAATAATCTCATCTTATGTAACTGCCTTAAAGAATATAGTGAATCGAAGTACTTACCGGTAAACCATTATTAAGGGGTCTCTCAACGGGCCACCGTTCCCAACACCAAACCTGGAGTAGGTAGGAGCAACCCCAAGGTTCGCATATCCTGAGGTGCGACGGCAGGCAATGCATAGCTGTCGATACGTCCATACCAGGACTGCGCTGCCCCAGCTGTACGCCGCTATATTCTCCCACGACTGGCGTAGTATGTCAAGGAAGATCCAGCTGATGGTGTTGCCCGAGGCGTCTGGGAAGAGGAAAGCACCAAGAAAGTGCTAGAGCCACACTCGAGCGAACTTGTCGATCAGAGCCTCCTCAGCCTGTGGGTCCAAGTAATCAAAGCGCTCTGTAATCTAGGACGACGAAACACCGGAACTTTTCCTGAAATTGACCAAAGAAAATGAGACCCCGTGGCTATAGGAAAGCAATGCAAGTATTAAATAGGCTTGAATTACTCACTTATTTTTCTTGGAAGCCTCGTCGTCCGGTGGAAGAAAGCCAGTAAACTGAGCCACCAGCTTCCACCAGTGATCGTTGTCAACTATCTATGTCACTGGAAGTCCCCCCAACCGAAGGCCTAAAATAGCCTTCACGTCCTGCAACGTCAACGTCATCTCGCCACAAGATAGGTGGAACGTTTGGGTCTTAGGCTTTCACCTGTTATAAGAATAGAACGACTGTTAGTTGCCTCAAATTTGTTACAAAAAAGTTTACGTACAAAGAATGCACTCACACCTGTCTACAGCTGCAGTAAGTAGTGTTGGGTCAAGGGGCGGAAGACCGTGGTTGACAACACGGACAAGCTCGAGAAAGCCGGCACGCCGTATGTACGGCGCATAACGCTCGTCCCACTGGTGCACCCTGGTGTGCGTGCGGGGCCTCAAAGGAGGCAAGGCCACCTCTGCGTCGTTCAGCCTGTTCGCTTGCTCGTATACGATCGTGGATTATAAGCTGAAACAGTATTTTTCTCTCACACCAAACTAGCCAGCAGTAAATAATCCACGATCGTTTAGTTATTGAAACGAATAGGCTGGTTGTCACTCAGGATGTGTGCTCGGTGGTCGTCGTCGTACTCCACCTCAAGAATGGGATACAACGGATGCTGCGTGGGAGGAGTCACCCTGTTATAAATTGATAAACAAAGCGTTAGAGTATTCAAATTAACAAAATTCAAATTAACATTAGTAAGTTCACAAACAAATTCACTAACCTAACTATCCTAAATCACCAAACTCAAAATCCTAACTGTACTAGATAATAAATACTTAATCAATCCCTAAAATCCCTAAACCCTTTTAGTTTAGGGTAAACTAGTATCTATACCCAAAATCCCTAACTAAATAACTAACTACAAACTAAATAATAAATACATAATCAATTCCTAAACCTAAAATCCTAACTATACTAGAACACACAACCTCAAACCTAAAAACTACCTACGTAAATCACAAACAAATTCACTAACATAACTATCCTAAATAACTAACTATCCTAAATCACTAACTATCATAAATCAATAACAATCATAAAACCCTAACTATCCTAAATTACTAACTATCCTAAATCACTAATTATCCTAAATCAATAATAATCAAAAAAATATGAAATCGAGAGAGAGGTACCTTAGGAGCGGGCGGCCTTGACGCGCCGGCGTTCGTGGCGCGGGCGCTGCGCGGCGGGAGTGGCCGGGCGCGACGTGGGCGGGCGGGCGAGGCCGGGCCGAGCCGGCACGGGCGCGTGTGGGCGCTGGCGGCGGGCGCTGCGCGGCGGTGGGGCGCGTGCGGCTGGCGGCTGGTGGCGGACGGGCGCGCGGGCAGGGGTGCGTGCGGGCGGGCGGGTTCGCACGCGGTATTTATTCGGCCCAGCCGCGCCACAGATCTGGGCGCGGCACTGCCGCGCCAAGGTCGGTGGTGTGGCAGGACCTGCCACGTCAACGGTCCCCGAATCCGATCGTCGCCACGTCAGCCCGCTGCCGCGCCACCATGCATGGCGTGGCACAGGTATTTGGCCGCGCTAGGGCAATAGGTGAGGCAAAAAGTGTTAGTTTAAA